CTCTCTCCACCCCTTCTCCGCTGGTCGTAGCCGGTCCCGGCGCTGCAGCCCGTTCCGTACTCTCCAAGCTCCTGCCCCCAAGTCCTCTTGCCAGTCTCTCCACCCCAGCAGTACAACCTGGTATAAACCCCAGTTCCTCTTCTGCACTGTCTGTTGTGCTCTGTGCTGTGTTTGTGTTGTGTGAGCTTGTGCTGATCAGGTATGTCCCGGACACTGACCCCTGGGGTTGGGATTCACGGAGCTCTGCCATGCCTGAGGCCACGGGGCCACCCCTGCTGGTCTTGGGATGGACAGATTGCAAGGCCAGAGCTCCCCAGCAATGCCTGTGCTCAGTGCTGGGGTATGGGGGCCCTGTGGGCTCAGCCAAGCCCCTGTGTTGTCTCCACGGGGATCTTTTGGGAATGGTGTCCCCCATGGGATGTGGCTGGGCTGGAGTCACCCCTGCCTGGTGGGACCCCACGTGTCCCCACCACCCCCTCAGCTCGCATGTCCCCCTGTCCTGCTCTGGGTCTGTGGCTCGTGTGTGGGGGCCTTTTTGGGGGAGCTTCTCTCAGAGCAGGGAGAAGGGCTCTGCATTTACCAGCAGAGCTGTGTCTCACCTGCTGTTGTCCCACGTGCCTCTCTCCATCCTTCCCTTATCCCACTCCAGGCCGACGAGCTCAGCAGCCCCTTCGGGCAGATCAGCCTCAGCCGACAGGGCTCAACAGAAGCCCCAGATCCTTCCTCGGCGATGTTCCAGTCATCCCTCATCTCCCAGCACCCTCAGCAGACAGGATTCATCATGGCAACCCCTGGGCAGCCCATTCCCACCTCCAGCTACTCCGCCTCGGGGCACACGGCCCCCACTCAGCAGGTGCTGCAGCCCCAGGGCTACATTCAGCCTCCCCAACAAGTAAGGACACGAGGGGACATCCCCAGAGCTGCCAGGCCAGGGGCTGCTGGGGAGCGGGTCCCTTTGGTTTTTTCTGCTGCTAGTTGGATGGATCCATGCACAGGGGTCCAGGCTCTTGAGTTTCACACTCCCCTGTTAGGCACAGGATGATCCCGTGTCCCTCTGAGCCCACGGGGCTCTTTCCTGGGACCCCCCCGAGCCACTCTTGGCTCTCAGCAGTGGGGGAGGGACAGGGCTGACACCTCTAAGCTCTCTTTGGGGTCCTGCAGGGCTTTATGACCTCTAGGATTGTCCCCTGAGCTGTGAGCAGAGTTGTGCCTACTGAGCTCTTGCACTACTGTGCTGGGAAAGGCTTGGAGGAGGAGGCTGGGAGGCGCGGGAAGGGGCTGCGGTTCCCCGAGGAGCCATCAGCTGGCCAGAGCCAGAGCCCTCCTGGCTGCTTCCCTTCAGCAGAAGCCAGGCCAGGTGAGAGAGAAAACTGGTCCTGGGGGACCAGCTTTCTTGCTCCTGCTCCCTCCTGTGTTCTCACCACTGGGTTTTCTTGCCTCTGATAGATTCAGGTTTCTTACTACCCCCCCGGGCAGTACCCGAACTCCAGCCAGCAATACCGACCCCTCAGTCACCCAGTGGCCTACAGCTCCCAGCGCCCACAACAGCTCCCCCAGCAGTCCCAGCAGCCAGGTAAGGGGGTGCAAGGAGGGGAAGGGGGCAGCTTTCCCCTTTCCTGCTGCGTTTGTTGGCTCCAAAGATCTCCCATGTGCTGTGTGGGGCCAGGTCGCTCTTCCCACTCTTTGCTGGACCTGCCTCTTGGCTGGGAGGTTGGGGTGCCTCTGTCTGCAGAGGCTCTTGTGTCCTTCCCCCTCTCCTCTGAGCTTGCTGGGGGAGGGCATGAGGTGGATTTAAGCCCCACTGAGGGGCTGCCAGGGGAATTTAAGGCTTCCCTTGGGTGTGTTTACATCTGCTCTAAGAGAAGCCCTTTCCTCACTCTTTAGCAGGAGGTGGGGACAGAGGCAGGATTTGATTCTCTAAGTGCTAAATCTGGGGCTGTTTCCTGTGTCCGTCTGAGAAAGCTGCTCCATTGAAACCCTGTTCTGGCAGGTTTACAGCCAATGATGTCCAACCAGCAGCAAACATACCAAGGTGTGGTGGGGGTGCAGCAGGCACAGCCCCCCGGGCTCCTCAACAGCCAGAGGAACAACATGGGGGGCCAGATGCAGAGCGTGATGGGGGTGCAGCAGGCACAGCCCCCCGGGCTCCTCAGCAACCAGAGGAGTGGGATGGGGAGCCAAATGCAAGGTCTGATGGTCCAGTACACACCACTGCCTTCGTACCAGGTGGGTACGAGCTGCTGCTCCCCGGGGTGGGGTGCTGGGAGGAGGCCAGGCTGGGCAGGATGTGCTCTGTTCCTGTGCCTGAGGGATGGAGCCAAAGGTGAGGATTGGCTCACAGGGCATGCCTGGGGAGGGCACATCTGTGGGACACATCTGGAGCAGGAGGACTGGGAGGGGCCGTGCCTGGGTGAGGTTGCTCTGGGCTGTAAGAAAAAAACCACCTGGAATCTCTTCACCCTGCTGGTGTCTCCTTGGGCCAGTTCTCCCTGCTGTTCCCTGTTACCTGCTGCTTTCCTCCCTGGCCAGGTTCCCATGGCCAGTGAGTCCCAGAACGTGGTCCAGCAGCCCTTCCAGCAGCCAGTGCTTGTGCCAGCCAGCCAGTCTGTGCAGGGGGGGCTCCAGGCTGGAGGGGTCCCCATCTACTACAGTGTCATCCCCACTGCCCAGCAGAATGGCACCAGGTAAAGCTCCAGCAGCTCGGGCCTGCCTGGGGGAGAAAGGGGAGCTGTGCCCACAGTGGGGGTTTTGGGGAGGTCCTGTCAAGGTTAGGAGTCAGCCTTGATGATCCTTGTGGGTCCCTTCCAACTTGGGAGATTCCATGATTGTCTTTGGTGATTCCATGTGGATCCTGTGATGATGTTTGGTGGTTCATGGTGGTTCCATGTGGATCCTGTGATGATGTTGGGTGGTTCCTGGTGGTTCCATGTGGATCCTGTGATGATATTTGGTGGTTCCTGGTGGTTCCACGAGGATCCTGTGAGCATGGAGCACCCTGCTCCTGTGGCTGGAGGTGGGTGGGTACCACAGGTGCTGCTCCTCCCTGAGCTTGTCCATTCCTGGCTCTCTTGGTCAGGGCTTCCTGGCCACCAACATGTCAAGCTCCTGTGTGCCCAGCCCTCTCCAGAGGCTCCTGTGTGTTCAGCCATCCCAGTAAAGAGGAAATAACTGGGAATAACCTGTGCAGATGTCCTGGCTCTTCCTCCCCATCCCTCTCCTCACCTGAGCCCTCTCTGCTCCACAGCCCATCCGTGGGGTTCCTGCAGCCTCCTGGCTCTGAGCAGTACCAGATGCCACAGTCCCCAGCACCCTGCAGCCCCCCCCAGATGCAGCAGCAGTATTCAGGTACGAGGGGCCACGGGCAGGGCTGGCATCGACCCCATAGGTGGGATCAGCCTTTGGATCACGGGCTGTGGAGCTGCCACTTCACAGCCAAGTCTGGCAGCTTCTGTGCAAGGGCATTGCTCAGGCTGGGAATGCCACAGGGAGTGATCAGGATGTGGCACTGGCTCGTTCCTGGCATCTCCCTGCCGTGCTGGGCAGTGGGGTGGAGGCAGCTGGGTGGGCTGTGGGTTGGTGAGAGCAGGAAGAACTGCAGATGGGGAGGCTGGGGATTCCTGCTCCCTGCCATAGCTGCTGGGAGTGAGCTGGTGCAGAAGCTGAACTGGGATGATGGAAGTCTGGACCTAGTGAGCTGCAGGATCTGGGTTCTGTACCTGGATCTGTGCTTGGAGCCTTTGTCTGGAGTTTTGTGGAGATGCTCAGAGCAGTCGCTGAGCTGCCATCCCTCAGCGTGGCCCCTTTTCTCCTGGATTAAACATCATCACTCCCAGATGTAACCTCTGCTATCAGAGAGGAATCCCCAGAGGGTCCTGGTGGGGTTTTTCCAGCCTGAGAAAGTCATGAGTGGCAGAGGGGATAGTCCAGAGTGGACTGTGGGGAAGAGTGTGCAGTGGCAGGGACAGGCAGGTCTGTGTCTCACAGCACGTGTGTCTGTCCCCAGGGGTGTCCCCGTCAGGCCCTGGTGTGGTGGTGATGCAGCTGAATGTCCCCAACGGCCCCCAGGCCCCCCAAAACCCCCCCGTGGTGCAGTGGAGCCACTGTAAGTACTACAGCCTGGAGCAGCGGGGGCAGAAGCCAGGAGACCTCTACAACCCCGACACCAGTGCTCAGGTACTGGGGGGACTGGGAGGAGGCAGCTCAGCCTTTGGGGTAGGCTGGGGGGTCACCCCACGGGGTCAGGGTGGCTGTGGGAGTGGTCACAAGCACTGGGGGTGTCTGACACTGTCCCTCCCCCAGGCCAGCACCCAGCTGAACAGCCCCATCACGTCCCCCACCCAGTCCCCGACGCCGTCGCCCGTCACCAACCTCAACAGTGTGTGCACGGGGCTGAGCCCCCTCCCCGTCCTCACACAGTTCCCCCGGCCCATGGGCCCAGCACAAGGTAAGGGGAAGGTGTGTGGGCACAGCCCAGGGCTGGGAATGCTGGCACCTTCCCTGAGCTCCCCACAAACTCGGGCTCCTCGTGCAGGTGATGGGAGGTACTCGCTGCTGGGCCAACCTCTGCAGTACAACCTGTCCCTGTGTCCCCCACCACTGCTCCACAACCAGCCCAGCTACACAGGACACCAGGTACAGCCAGGCCAGGTACAGCCTGCCCAGCCCCTCTGTGGGCACCCTGAAGCCACAGTGTCCCCTGAGGTGACACAGTGCCCCCTCTTTCTCCTTCAAGGGGCAGACTGGAATGAAACATGGAAACCGGAGCAAGAGACAGGCCCTGAAGTCAGCGTCCACCGACCTGGGGACAAGTGACGTAGGCAAGTGACCCCCTCGAGCCCCTTTGCCCTCTGATGTCCCCACAAATGGATGTTGGAGACACCAGGTGCCATTGCTGCCCACACCGACATCCCACACAACCCTGTGCTGCTTTTGGAGAGTGGTTCCTGCCAGTCCCTCCTCCCCACGCCCACAAACACCCCCCAGCCCAGGTGAGTCCAGGCTGGGGGTGCAGCAGATCCAGCCCCAGCCTGCTGTTCCCTGAGGGAGGTGGGTGAACAGGGAGTAAAACCTCTGAGGACACCTGGGTGCTATTCCTGCCTCTCAGAGGATGGAAATGATGGAGCAGGTGGAGCTGGCAAAACTGAGATTTTATTCCTCTTTATCAGCAGAAAGTGAATGTCCAGATTCTGAGATCTCATTCCCACCACTGCTTTCCCAAGTCACTCTTCCCACCCATTCTTCCCTTTCCCATGGGGCCTGCAGCTTCAGAGCCTCATCTTTGAGATTTGGGATCTCCCAAGGTGGCTGTGAGGCCTGAGGTTTCCAGTGCATCATTTCTTTCTGCCCCCGTTCCTAAGGGAGGGATCCACAGCTTGGATGGAGCAGCCCTCAGTGACCCTCTGGAGACCTCAGCCTTGTCCCTCATGTCACCTCGGTGTCACCACCAGCAGCTGGCTGCAGGGGCCCTTTAAGAGCTGCCTACCCCCCTCCTGCCCCTGGCATGGTCTGTACGTGCCACGTTAATATTAGCAAAGAATCCCTGCAGCAGCTCTGCTAAGCCCAGAGCCAGGGCTGGAGCCAGGAGCTGCAGAGGGGTTTGGGGACCACAGGGCTGGACCCAGGGGACTGGACCCAGGAGCTGCAGAGGGGTTTGGGGACCACAGGGCAGGGCCAGGAGCTGCAGAGGGGTTTGAGGACCACTGGACAGGGACAAAGGTTGGAGCCAGGAGCTGCAAAGGGGTTTGGGTACCACCAGGCAGGAGCTGGGAGCTGCAGAGGAATTTGAGGGCTATGGGGCAGGAATAGAGCAGAACCAGGAGCTGCAGAGATGTTTGACCACTGGTCAGAGCCAAGAGCCTGCAGAAGGATTTGAGGATCACTGGACAGGGACAAAGGTTGGAGCCAGAAGCTGCAGAGGGATTTGAGTACCACCACGCAGGACACACCCAGTGCCACCATCCTCCATGGGTGCAGCCATTCTCCCTCCCAGGGTCAGGGTGGGAGCGTGGGGTTGCCTCCCAGTCCTGGCACCTGAAGTTTGGGGTAGGAAAACAGGGCAGACCCCCTGGGAAAGCCTGAACTGCCCCAGCTCTCCAAAGGACACCAGCAGGCCTTGGTGTCCCTGGAGCTGTGGGACACTGGGGAATAAACACCCACATCTCCTCCTGAGTGTGTGAGCACAGGAAGGGACTGGGATGGGGCATTCCAGGGAGCAGGTAGGGCTGCTTTGGACGGGAAGTGATCGTTTAAAAGAATAGATTCCTGCTGTGGGAGCAGCTTGGCATTTCTGGACCCAGGACAGGTGGGTGCTCCAGCCCGGAGCCAGGGAGGCTCCTGGGACACTGGTGACACACAGCTCCTTCCCTGCAGTGCTGGGCCGGGTGCTGGAGGTGACAGACCTGCCCGAGGGCATCACACGGACAGAGGCCGACAAACTCTTCACCCAGCTCGCCATGGCCGGTGCCAAAATCCAGTGGCTCAAAGAGACTCAGGGGCGCCGCGGGGACGGAGGCGGCGGGGACAACAGCGGGACTCCCGAGAACGGCAGGCACAGTGACCTCGCTGCCTTATACACCATCGTGGCCGTGTTCCCCAGCCCTCTGGCTGCCCAAAACGCCTCCCTCCGCCTCAACAACTCCCTCAGCCGCTTCAAACTGCGCGTGGCCAAAAAGAACTACGACCTGCGGGTGCTGGAGCGGGCCAGCTCCCAGTAGGGCTCCCGTGGGCACCGGGCACTCCCCTGGGCCTCTTCTCCTCCCACCTTCCCTTCCTCTCGCCCTCCTTCCTTGATATATTTATATGAACATAATTAAGAGACGAGAAGTTGATTTTTTTTTTTTTTTTTTTTTAATTATTATTTTTGGAGTGACGCCCGTGCCCGCCCCCCTCCCTTGTGTCTATGGTTTTGTTTAAGCACTGTGTTGGACCGCACATACAGGTGTTGATTGGTATGTTCACTGCACATTTTATTTAATCGGATTATTATTTTGTTGGGGGGGAATTTTTTTGGTTTTATTTTATTTGGGGGGTTGTTTTTAAATAAAAAAAAAAAAAAGGAAAATTGTCCATCACTTGAACGTAACTTCCCGTTCTACCAGTGCCAGGGCTGGGGGCTCTGTGCTGCCTCAGTGGGGTGAGGGGACAGGAGAAGGGACACTGGCAGGGGGACAATCCTGCCCAGTCCTGCCCCCAAGCTTTGCATGGCCAAGGGCTGCAAGCCCGAAGGGGAGATCCCAGGCTGGGATCAGAGCATTTGGATTGGGGCTGGACTGCCCTGACAGATGTTCATGGCCTGGCCTCCTCCTTCCCCCGCCTTCTTTTTCCTTCCTTCTCCTTCCTTCCTTCTGGCTCCATCCAGCTGTGTAATTCCAGGGTAGGAATGAAGGTGTGGAGTGGCCCCAGCTGTGTGCCCTGCCAGGAAATTTTCTGTATTCCTGCTGACAGGAGCAGCACCTGGAGCTGGCAGGTGCAGGTGGAGACAGGTTTTGGGGTGGCACAGCCAGAGCCTCTGGCAGTAGTGGGATTCTCCCAACCTTCCTAAGCAGGTGCAGCTGGACAGGTAAGAGCTGCCAGGAAGAGGGGGGGGGGGGCTCCAACCCAGGCTTGTGCCAACTCCCACCTTGCTGCCACCCACAGCCAGACCTAAGGGCCCCTGGGTGCCCCGTCCCTGGTTATGGGCAGCCTGGCAGCAGGGGGATCCCCGCTCCTGCCATCACAACCGAGCCTGGACCAGCAGGATTTGGTGCCAGAGGGTCCAAGGCAGCCACTCCACCCCATGAGAGACCCCCCTCTGGGGCCACTGAACCCCCAGAGCCTCCAACACACGAGGAGACACTGAAGCTGGAGCCTTTGGTGTGCCCAGCTCCTGGAACCCTCAGTGTGCCCAGTTCTGGAGCCCTCGCTGTGCCCGGTTCCTTCTTTGTCCCAGGCCAGGCTGGGGGGGCCCTGGCACGCCCAGCAACCACCAACGCAAATAGCCGGTGGCTCCTCCGCCTGCTCCCTCCCGGCGCACGCTGGGGCTCCAATTTCCCGGCGTCAGCCCCCGCCACCGCTCAGCTGTCGTCCCCCTCTGCCCTGTCACTCCTCTGGCCACCGGACCGGGGCCGCTGCCGCCCTCCCCGCGCCCGGCACGGAGAGCTGGGGGCTCTGACCTGGCACCGGCCGCCCTTCGGGGGCTTCTCCAGCGCAGGGCGAGACCTCCAAGCACAGGGTAAGTGCCCCGTGTGTGCCCCTCCTTGCCGTGGCCGTGCCCACCCTGGGCCCCCCCGCTGCTGCAGGGCCTCGGGGTGCCCCGTTCCCGCAGTGCCCCTCACCCCAGCGCTCCCCTTTCCCGTTGCTGTTCCCTGCTGGTTTTCCTGGCTGGTTTCCCCGGGGGCTGGAGGGGCTTGGGGGGCGCCTATCACCAAAAATAGTGAGGTCTGGGAGGGCTGTCAAAGGTGGCACCGGGATGGTTTGGGGGATGCAGGAGCAGGTCCTGCGCCTGCTCAGGTGGCAGCTGGAAGGTGAATGATGCCCATCAGTGTCCCCGTGTGCCCATCTGAGGGACCGAGAGTGGCACCGCCTGCAGCTTCACGGTGAGATGGAGATGTCCGGGCTAAGGTGGGCACGTGCAGAGATAGCCCAGGGGCTGGCTCACGGCACTTGGCACCACGTCCCTGAGCCAGCGGATGTGCCACGCTCTGGGCTGGGCACCGACCTCCTCCAGCCTGACCCCGGGGCTCTCCGAGACAGAGCCAGCCCCGGCCGGGGCAGGGGATGCGGGATGGGCGGGGGGAGTGAGCCCGGGCTTTCCCCTGGCAGAACCAGCCCTCGCCAGGACAAGGACTGCAGGACGGGCAGGGGAACGGGAAGCACTGCCCACCCAGCAGGGTCTGACCACTTCAGCCCCTGCCGGGCTCCTGCAGCTGGAACTGCCCCAGCCGATGCCATCTGTGTCTCTTCACCTTGCAGCATGACGGAGAAGGAAGTGCCAGAGCCACCAGCTTCACCTGCTTCAGGTGGGAAACCCAAGAGCCGGGTAAGTGGGTGCCCACAGGGCAGTTTGGGTGGGTGGGGGCAGCCCCCTCTCTCTCATCATCCTGCCGCAGCCCCAGGAGGTTTTGGGAGTCCTGGGCTGCCTGGTGAGACCCTGATCCAGCCGGGTGTTGGGTGGGCATTTCCCAGCTCGGCATTTCCCTGGCACGCCCACATCTTTGAGGTGCTCAGGAACCACAGTTTCCTCTTTTGCCGAGACTTCACGGGGCTGGGAGGAGGGTCCCCATCTTCAGAGCATTCAGAACATTCTCCTCCTGCTTGAGGGGATCACTGGGGCGAGGAGCCGGGCACGGGGTCTCTGCCCTCCTGCCCCCCCCAGCACTGCCACACACCATCCGTCCTCTCCTGCCCCAGCAGCTGCAGAAGCTGAAACAACTTTTCCAGCGAAAGCCCAAGGAGGAGCCGGCGCCGGAGCCACAGCCCAACGGGGAGCTGGTCAGCCCCTCGGGGGGACCCATCTACTACATCTATGAGGATGACGAAGAGGAGGAAGAGGAGGAGGAGCCTGAGCCCCCTCCCGAACCCGAGAAACTTGTTAATGACAAACCCCACAAGTTCAAAGATCATTACTTCAAAAAGCCCAAATTCTGCGATGTTTGTGCCCGCATGATCGTCCGTGAGTCCTGAGGGGGCTGGGGGCCATGGGCAGGGCTGGGGGGCGCGGGTAGGGCTGGGGCTGGGGGCCAAGGCTGTCCAGGGCTCTGTCCCGGCCGTTTCACAGCTGCAGTGTCACATTCCCTCTCCTTTCCACCTCCCCCCCACTGCCAGTCAACAACAAATTTGGCCTGAGGTGCAAGAACTGCAAAACAAACATCCACCACCACTGCCAGTCCTACGTGGAGATGCAGCGTTGCTTCGGCAAGATCGTGAGTGTCACCCCCCACCTCCAGCCCCCAAATCGGGCACCCCCGGGAGTGCCACCTCGGCCCCGCGGCCGTGACTCAGGTGCCACCACCCCTGGCTCCGAGGGGGACCCCAGCATCCCCCCTCGCGGTCCCCCCAGCTCTGACAGTGGCTCTGGGGGGTGGCTGATGCTGCAACCCCCCCTCTGTCCCCCCAGCCGCCCGGGTTCCGCCGGGCGTACAGCTCCCCCCTCTACAGCGACCAGCAGTACGCCGGCACCAAGGACCAGCTCGGTAATTCCCCATGCTGGGGTGTCCCGTCCCCTTGGTCCCCACCCCGGGGTGTCCCCACCCCTCGCGTCCCATCCCTGACCCCCTCCCCCACCATTCCCCTTCCCCCGCAGCAAACAGGAGCGATCCTGTGTTCGAGACGCTGCGCACGGGCGTCATCATGGCCAACAAGGAGCGCAAGAAGGGGCAGGACGACAAGAAAAATGTGAGTGTGGGGTCGGGCTCTCACCAAATTCCTGCCGGTGCTGTGCCAGCACCCCCCTAACCCCCCAGTCCCCCCATTCTGCACCCTCTGAGAGCTCTCTCTGCCTTCCAGCCCTTGGCTGCGATGATGGACGAGGAGTCGGAGGCCACGAAGCCGGTGGGGAGCAAAGCCGAGGGTGGTGAGCGCGGGGCCGAGGGTTGGGGGGCTGAGCCCATGGGACACGGGGGAAACCCCTGGCTGTGTTTGGGGGGATCACCAGGGTGGGTTTGCCCTGCAGAAAGAGGGTCTCCAGTTTATGTCCCCACCCTGGGGCTCTCGCTGCATCCCTACATTGGCTGAGGGGTGTGACCCCTCCTCCCATTCCCAGGTGCCTCTGAAGGGGACAAGAAAGCTGAGAAGAGCCCAACAGATGACAAGGTACCCCTCATCCTCACCCTGCACCCCAAAGCCTTGAGCAGAGCCTGTGGGATCTCCCTGCGGGGATCCTCAGGGCTGTCTGCAGCCCCCGGGACCGCAAACTCCACTGTGCCCGCCCAGAGCAAGAAGCCGCAGCCAGGGGGGTTCCTGCAGTCCCACTATTTCGTGGCACTTTATCGCTTCAAAGCCCTGGAGAAGGACGACCTGGATTTCCCGTGAGTTTCCAGCCCTGTCCCGGGCTCTTTCCCAAGGTTTTGGGGGTTTGGCTTGATGTGGTTCTGTGGCTTTCCCAAGGCTGAGCTGCTCTGAGCAGGACCTGCCTGTCCCTGAGCCCACGGGCTGCGTGTGTCCCGTGCCAGATACGGGGCTCGAGGAGCTCATTCTGAAGGAAAAGCGATTTTTCCTTGGGGTCTCTCACGGCTGGGGGTCCTGCCCCTCTCAGGGAGCCCTTCCTTCCCTTCCAGGCCGGGGGAGAAGATCACGGTGGTCGATGACTCCAACGAGGAGTGGTGGCGGGTAAGGCGGGAGGGAGAGCTCGGCTGGGAAAGGCACTGCAAAGGGAGACCCCCAAACTGCTGCCAACCCCCAGCCTGGCAAGGAGGGGGATCTGAGACCCCCGGATTGGCTCAAATCCCCCCTTACACTCCCCCACTGCCTCCTTCCAGGGGAAGATCGGTGAGAAAGTCGGATATTTCCCCCCCAACTTCATCATCCGGGTGCGGGCGGGCGAGCGGGTGCACAAGGTGACGCGTTCCTTCGTGGGCAACCGGGAGATCGGGCAGATCACGCTCAAGAAGGATCAGGTGAGACGGGACCACCCCCCACATCACCACCCGGGGACCCCCAGCCCCCCTCCAAGCCCCCCATCACGGCTGCACCCCATAACCCACATCACCGTCCCTCCGCTTCTCACCTCCCCCAGCCCCTCGGGTGGGACCGACCCTTCCACACCTGGGGTCTCACCCTGCTCTGGGGGGGTCTCGGGGGTCTCACCCTGCTCTGGGGGGGTTCTCGGGGGTTCCACCTGCTCTGGGGGGAGGTCCCGGGGGTCTCACCCTGCTCTGGGGGGGTCTCAGGGGTTTCTTCTGCTCTGGGGGGAGGTCCTGGGGGTCTCACCCTGCTCTGGGGTGTCCCAGGGGTCTCACCCGATCCCGTCTCACCCCCAGATCGTGGTGCAGAAGGGGGAGGAGGTGAACGGTTACGTTAAAGTCTTCACCGGCCGCAAAGTGGGGCTGTTCCCTGTGGACTTCCTGGAGGAGATCTGAGGGGGGCTGCGGGGGGGGACCCCTGGGATGGGGGACAGAGACACCCCTGGGATTGGGCAGAGACACCCCTGGGATGGGGCGGAGAGACTGGCTGCGGGGTGGGGATGGGGACAGAACGGCTGCAGGGCAGGGCTGGGGGCGGGGGAACCCTCGGGATGGGGAATGGAAGGACCCCAGGATTGGGATGGGGGGCCCTGGCTGCGGGACAGGTTTGGGGTCAGGGAAGGGCACCCCCATTGCTGCTCCTGGTCCCTGGGGTGTCCCTGGGGGAACTGTTGTCCCCCCCAGGACCGGGGCAGGATGGGGGGGACAGGAGGTGCCCCGGGGGCTCTTCCCCCTGGGAGGTTTTGGTGCCTCCAGAGACACTGGATGCAAGCAGGGGGCACCCCCAGACTCGCTGTGGAGCCCCCCCAGACCGAGTGGGGGGACACTGGGTGCCACGGGGAGGGTCGGGGGGTTCTGCCCCGCTGCTCCCAGGATTTGGCAATACATGGCTGTGCCCACCCCCCGCTCTCCAGTGTGGATTTAATGGGGGTCACAATGGGGGTATTGATGGCACCTTGCGAGGTGCCACTGTTGGGGTGCCAATGCCCGCCGCTGGGAGGGACCACCAGGAGGGTGGCAGTGGGAGAGTTGACAATGGTCACTGGGGGAGTGCTGGTGGCCAGCACAGTGCTCAGTGGAGGGGGTGGGTCACTGGTCACTGTGGGGGTGCTGGTGGACCCCGGTGGAGAGAACAGGTCAGTGGTCACTGTGGGGGTGCCAGTGGCCCCTGATAGAGGAGTCACTGGTCACTGTGGGGGTGCCGGTGGCCCCCGGTGGAGGGGATTGGTCACTGTGGGGGTGCTGGTCCCCCTCAGTGGAGGGGATTGGTTACTGGTCACTGTGGGGGTGCCGGTAGCCCCCGGTGGAGAGAATAGGTCAATGGTCACTGTGGGGGTGCTGGTCCCCCTCAGTGGAGGGGATTGGTCACTGTGGGGGTGTTGGTGGCCCCCAGAGGAGGCTCAGCCGCGCGCGGGCGGTGGGAGGGGAGGGGATGGGGCGGAACCAGGACCCCCCCGCCCCGTCGCTCGGGGGGCGGGCGCTGGCGCGGGGCCCGGCCAGGCCCGAATAGGGGCGGCGAGCGACAGGTGACGGTGCCGGGGACAGGACGAGACCTTGGAGCGCGGCGGGGGCGGGCGCCGAGCCAGGAACAGGTGCCCGGGCCCCGCAGCGGGGGCTGCGCCCCGTGACGTCACGGCACCGTGACGTCAGCCGTAACCATGGCGACGGGTGGGCGGGGTGGGCGGGGCCTGAGGAGTGGGTGTGGCTTGGCCTCCCCGGCTCCGCCGCGAGGGGGCGCTGCCGACACGCCGCGCGCCGCTGCTGTATGCAAAAATATGCAAATTATGAGGGGCAGCGGCGCCCCCTGGCGGGCGGCTCTTGGGGCAGCCCCCAGCCCGGTACCGGGGACGGAATTCGGGGGGAGGGGGAACGGGGAGGGGGCGCCCATGCAGAGGGGTCCCCGTGTTCCCCCCCACTCCGTGGGGTCAGGCCGGGAGTGCTGAGGGGGTTTTTGGGGGGTACAGGGAACGCCGGGGNTTTTGGGGGGTACAGGGAACGCCGGGGACGGGGGGGCTGGGGAGGGAAGCAGGTGTGTGACCCCCCCCCCACACTGGGGGGGGTCTCCCCTCATTCCCAGCACCCCAAGTATCGGAGATGCTGCTCCGGGAATGATGGAAATGAGGGGGGGCAGTCCTCGGGACTGACATCCCTCCCTCTCTCCTCCCCCCTCCCCTCCTGTCACACAGCTTTAAATGCCGAACCATTAAAATTTTCCACCTCATTTGCGGCTCCTCACACGGTTAATTTTCCCGGGATTGTCTATTTATTTATTTGCGGAGCCCTGCGGGAGGGGGGGGAAAGGCGAGGGGGCAGCAGCTGATTTGCTGCATCTGGGCGGTGGGGAGGGAAAGGGGGGAACCACCCTGGGAAGGGGGGAGGGCTCTGGCTAATTTAACAGCTGAAGAGAACAACTTAATTAGAGTCAGCTGGAAAATTGGGTAAAACACCTTCTATCAGCCTCCCACCCCCCAGCCCCCTTCTCTGCCGGCTCCTGGTGGGATGCCAGGCTAGGATGCGTTTTGGGATGTATTTTGGGATGTGTTTTGGGAGGGAGGAAGAGCTGCCCCAGCCAAGCAGCTGCCCTTCATTACAACCAGGAGCTAATTGGATTGATCAGCAGCTAATAAGGAATTAAGAAGCGCTCCCCCCGCCCCAAGCCCTCCGTGTGCAGCCCCCTCCTCACATCCCAGCTCCCGCTGCTTCCCGGATGGGTGTAGGGGGCATTGGAACCCGCTGGATGGGCTGAGATGGGATTTTCCACCCCCCCGTATTATGGCTGCTGAGCACTTCAGGGGTTGTTTTTTCCTATTTTCCCGTGGTTTTCCCATTCCTGGTGCTCCTGGGTCCTGGTTGTGACCTGGCTGTCTCCCCCTGCTCCTCCTTAGGTGAAGGGGTTGTTCCCCATCCCACCCCATGGAATTCACAGAGATTCAGCCTGGAGTCCCCCTGACCTCCAGATTAATCACCTCCATTTCTCTCCGCATCCCATGAAAGGTCAGGAGTCTGCGAGGCCCAGGAATTAATTGAAATCCCACCGGTCTCGTGCCAAATCCATACATCATCCCAGGGGAGCAGCCCCGGGATGCGAGGGTGGGGACACCCCCTCCTGCACCCCCTTTTTGGGGCGCACGGGGGACAGGGAGCAGCAGATGCAGCGCTCGGAGCTTGTTCTCCATCTCCAGGCAGGGAAATAAATGGATTAAAGTAAACTAAAGCGTCTGCGCTCCCCACCTGCCCCCCCGGCCATAAATCAGCATAAATGCAATTTCCATATTCATGGTATTTATCCAATAACTGTCCTGTCCCAGATTAAACGCGCCCCGGGGAGCACCAGGGCTCCTTATCTGTGCCGGGGGGTCCCGGGGAGGGGCGGCCCTGCCGGGGGGCTGGGGGGGAGGAGGGGTCCCGCTCTTCATCCTGCTCCTGAGGGGATGGAGAGGGGTGGGATCCTCTCCTTATCCTGCTCCTGAGGGGCTGGAGAGGGGAGTGGGGGAATTCTGCTCCTCATCCTCGCCCACTGCTCGCGGCCCCAGCGGGTCCTGGGAAAGGAGCTCAGAGCGGGGAGCCCAGGGCTCGGCAGCGCTCCTGTCCCACTCCCTTTCCCTTTTTTTCCTTTTCTCTTCCATGTTTTTTTTTTTTTCCCGTTTTTCTCCTTTCCCTTCTGTTCCTTTCCCCCTCTAATTCCTCGTCATCTCCCTCAGATGCTGCCAGGGGAGCCTCGAGATCCCCTCCCTGCCCCCCAACCTCACTCCCAGCGCAGGCAGGGACAGGATCCGATCCTGCTCCATCCCCGGGGGGGACACGGGGACCTCCCCGCCCGGCTCTGAGGGCAGGACCGGGGGCGCTGGAGCGGGTTTGGGGGACAGGTGCCCCTCCCCCAGGGGTCCCCACTGCCTGTGCCGTGGCTGGGGACACACACGCCACGTCTCCCACTGTGACAGGTCCTTGTCAGCCCTAATGACCCGAGCCCGGCAGGGCCCCAGGGCTCGCAGCTCGTTACGGGGGATTTAATGAGGGCAGGAGCAGCCACCGCCGCTGGCTCTTTGCCCCTGGCTGTGGCCTCGGGCGCGGGGCCACCACGGGCGGTCCCCTCCATGGCACGGCAGCGAGTCCCTCAGAGCCCCTCGAAAACCCCTACAGCCCCCCCAGCTTCTCAGAGCCCACTCAAGACCCCCAGAGCCCCCCACAATCCCCCCCACAGCCCTTTCTCTCTGGCCCCAGCTGATCTGGGGAGATGGGGCAGTGCCCCCCCTCCCCTTCTCAGGCTGCTCCAGCCCCCGGGTGGGGAGGCAGAGGAGTCTGGGGGCTTTGGGCTGTGGGTTAGGGCTAAGAGGAACCAGGAAAGGCAGATTTTGGGGCATCAGAACTAGGGGCTAAGGGAGCTGCAGTCAGGGCTGGGGGGCTGGTTGTGGGGTCCCCCACATGGCACAGCACCGAGCCTCAGAGTCCTGCACGGCTTCTCAGAGCCCCTCAGACACCCCCTTCAGATTTGGGGGCTGCAGACAGGGCTGGGGGGTGCCGATGTTGGGGTCTGTCCCAGCTGCAGAGGTGGCAGAGGGGCCAGCCTGGCTGTACCCCAAATCCTGGGCACCGCTCTCAGCTAGGCCAGGGCTGGGGGTCTCAGCCGCAGGGAGACTCCAGGTGCGACAGCCCTTTTTTTTGGGGGAGGGGGGGGGGCCGTTCTGAGCCTGGGGGGTCCCGTCTGCAGCGCCTCTGCTCCGAGGCAGCCGCGTCCTTCTTGGCTCCACAACAACCTGCGCAATCAGGAGCCTGCGGGCAGCGGGAATTAGTTAAATATTTGGCAAAGAAAGAGGCGAAAGCAGAATTTGAAAGAACTGGGGGGGGGGGGAGAGAAAGCGCTGTCACCCCACCCCGCTGCAGAACGGGGCAGACCCCAGGCACCGGGGGGGGGTCTCATCCTGCTGGGACCCCCGGGCAGGGCAGCACAGACCCCACCCCTGCATTTCCAGGGACGGGGTGGAGGGAGGGCCCCGAGGACCCCCTGTCCCTGCTGCGCTTTCAGCTGAGCTAACCCAGCCCTGGACCCCCGACGGGCAGAGGCGTTTGGGTGGTGAGACCCCCCCCCCTTTATCTCCCGGGCACCTCTGTTTGCCTGGATCCGGGCACCCCCTCGGGCACGAATCGAGGCAGGGACGAGCTTGGGGCCAGCTGTGGCTTCTGGGGAAGCAGAGAGGAGACCTGGGGATGGACAGAGCTGCTGAATCAATCCCTGCCCTCCTGCTGTCCCCACACTGATTTCTGGGGACCAGGGAGGAGACCTGGAGGGTGTTGGGGAGGGACAAAGCGTCTCGATCAATTCCTGCCTTGCTGCTGCCCCCGCTCCCGGCTCCTGACCCCACCCCCGCTGTGGGATCCATCCTCCCAAATCCTTGACG